GCTGAGCGCCGCATTGGCATGATCATGGACGTCGCTCGTACGTCCATGATCCATGCGGCTGCCCCCCATTTTCTGTGGTCGTTTGCGGTTCAGTACGCGGCGCATCAGCTCAACCTTCAGCCCCGGGTCTCCTTACCAGAGACCTCCCCCACCCTGCGGTGGACGGGGAAGGCTGGCGATGCGTCTGCGTTTCGGGTCTGAGAATCTCGGGCATTTGTTTGCGACTTGTCTGCGGACAAGCTGTCCCCCCGTGCTGTTCCCAGCGTCTTCCTTGGCTTCCCCCCTGACGCGCCTGGGTGGCAGTTTTACCACCCCACCTCGCGCCGTGTTGTGTCCTCACAGGACGTCACCTTTGATGAGTCGGTGCCTTACTACCGTCTCTTCCCCTACCGCGCTACGCCCCTTCCCCCGCCGCCGCTCTTCCTTGTGCCAGGTCCTCCCCCGGTAGACCCCCTCCCCCCTCAAGGTCCTACCCCGTCAGGTGTGTCCCAGGTAGACGCAATCGAGCCTGTCAAGGTAGCTGTTGACTATGGTGCTGCTAGTGGTGCTGAGCCTGCGGGTGCCAGGTCTGGAGGTACTGAGCCTGGGGGTGCTGAGCCCGGGGGTGTTGAGTCTGGGGGTGCTGAGCCTGGGGGTGCTGAATCTGGGGGTGCTGAGCCTGGGGGTGCTGAGTCTGGAGGTGTTGAGCCTGGGGGTGCTGAGCCTGGGGGTGCTGAGTCTGGAGGTGCTGAGCCTGGGGGTGCTGAGCCTGGGGGTGCGGAGCCTGGGGGTGCTGGGTCTGCTCGTGTGGCCTCTCGCGGTGCTTCGTCGAGGCGGCAGCCACTCTCTCCGCTGGAGCTACGCGAGTGGTTTGCCCGCCGCTGGAGCTGTGCTGCTGGAGCTGGAGTTTCTACTGTTGCCGCTGGTCCTGGAGGTGCTCGTACTGGTGGTACTGGAGCTGCTGGGACTGGGGGTGCTGCTGGGGCTGCTGGAGTTAGTTCTGCTGGTTGTACTGCTGGAGCTGCTGGCGGTCCTAGAGCTGACGGTCTTGCTGGAGTTGGTGCTGCTGGAGCTGGAGCTGCTGGGGGTGTTGGCGCTGGTGGTGCTACTGGCGCTGGTGCTTTGGAGGGTGCTGGAGTTGGCGCTGTTGGAGCTGGAGGTGCTGCTGGTGCTGGTACTGCCGCTGGGGGTACTGGTGCTGTCCGTGCTGGTTCTGGAGGCGCTACGCGGCCGAGGCCGTACTTCGTTTCCCTTCTTGAGCAGGTTCTTGGTCTCCCACCCTCTACTTGTGCTGCTCCTCTCTTAGAGTGTCCACAGCCTGTCTAGTCACAGTCACAGTTACAGCCTGCCTTCCCCCTGCCTGCTCCTTCTCCCTAAACTGGTCCTACTGGAGGTCTTGCTGAGCGTCGTGAGCCTGCGTCTCGTCCTGCATTGCCTGTTCGCGCTGCTCACACCAGTCGTCGTGCTCCACGTCTGCGTCCTCCTGCGGTCCCAGGCACACACCAGATGGAACTACGTCCTTCCACTGTTCCTCTGCGTGTCCCGTTGCCGTCTCCTCCAGAGTCATCTCTCCCTGTTCTTGCTGACCCGGAGTCTTACTCTCTTCGTGCTGCCTGTCCTACTGTCACGTGTCTCCTGGCTACTGTTATCACTGACCCTTCCTTTGAGTCCACTGTTGCGTCTGCCCTAGTTGCTGAGCTTGTCGACTTTGTTGCTCGCTGTCGTCTAGACTAAGCTACTAGTCTTGTTGCTGAGTCTTTGTCTGTCTGTCCTCCGTCCGTCGGGGGTGAGTGTGTTCTTAGCACGGACGTCCTTGAGGACAGGCAGGAGGAGTTCCAGTGTTTTGCTGCTGCTTTGCCTCATCTCGTGTCCACGCTGATTGTCCCTGAGGGAGACCCGGATGCACCAGACATCCCGACTCCTCGATCGTACGCTGAGGCGATCGAGGGTCCCTACTCCTCACAGTGGCAGTCAGCCATGGACGCAGAGATGGCTTCCTGGAAGTCCACAGGCACCTACGTCGACGAGGTTCCCCCACCTGAGGCGAACATCGTCAGTGGCATGTGGATTTTCAGGGTGAAGCGGCCGCCGGGTTCTCCGCCTGTCTTCAAGGCGCGTTACGTGGCTCGAGGCTTCAGTCAGCGGCAGGGAGTTGACTACTTTCAGACCTTCTCTTCCACCCCGAAGATGACCACTCTTCGGGTGCTGCTGCACATAGCCGCTCAGCGTGACTACGAGCTTCACTCTCTTGACTTAAGCACAGCTTTCCTGCAGGGCAGCCTGCACGAGGAGATCTGGCTGCGCCACCCACCTGGCTTCACTGGGTCATTTCCTCCTGGTACCCAGAGGAGCCTCCGGCGGCTAGTCTACGGTCTCCGCCAGGCGCCACGTGAGTGGCACGACACACTGAGGACTACACTTGCGGCTCTTGGGTTTGCTCCTTCTACTACCGGCCCGTCGCTGTTTCTGCGCACCGACACCTCTTTGCCGCCGTTCTACATCCTTGTGTACATCGACGACTTGGTATTTGCCACTGCTGACACTGCCGGACTCGCCCACGTGAAGTCCGAGCTGCAGAAGAGACACACGTGCACAGACCTGGGTGAACTGCGCAGCTACCTTGGCTTGCAGATCACCCGGGACAGAGCACAGCGCACCATTACCCTGACTCAGTCACACATGGTGCAGCAGGTCCTTCAGCGCTTCGACTTTACGTACTCCTCGCCTCAGGCCACTCCTCTGCCTACTCGCCACTTGCTCTCAGCTCTGCCTTCGAATGAGTCCGTAGAGCCGAGTGGCCCGTATCCAGAGCTTGTTGGCTGCCTCATGTACCTGATGACCTGCACACGACCTGACCTTGCATACCCTCTTAGCATCTTGGCACGCTATGTTGCTCCTGGGAGACATCGACCAGAGCACATGGCTGCAGCGAAGAGGGTGTTGCGCTACTTGTGCAGTACGTCGGGCATGGGGCTAGTGCTTGGAGGGCGACGTCGCGTGGTCCTCACAGGTCACGCAGACGCTTCTTGGGCTGACGACCAGCCTACACAGCGGTCGTCACAGGGTTACACCTTCAGCCTTGGCTCCGGCTTTGTTTCGTGGCGGTCTACCCGCTCATCTTCTTTTCTCACCTCCAGCTGTGAGGCTGAGATCTACGCGGGGCCCATGGCTGCACAGGAGCTACGTTGGCTCACCTAACTGCTGACTGACCTAGGAGAGCCGCCTCGTTCTCCTCCAGTTCTGTACGTAGACAACAAGACCATGCTGGCCTTGTGTCGGGAGCAGAGACTGGAGCACAAAACGAAGCACATTGCTCTTCGCTACTTCCTGGCTCGTGAGCTGCAGCACCGTGGCCAACTACGCCTTTCCTACGTGGCCTCTGAGGCCAACACTGCTGATATCTTTTCCAAGGCACTTCCGCCTTGTGATCATCAGCGCTTCTATACTATACTATTCTTGTGCCTACTTGGCCTCACTTGCTCACTTCTTGACCTTGCTTGTACTGTGATCTTTCTATACCTGCACTTGCTTATTTACCTTTATATATATGATCTTGCATGTGAACTGGCCTTGTGGCCTTGCTCTTGTGCTCGGACTGTGTGGTGACGTTGTGATCCACCCTGAGCTTGCTTTGCTTTGCTTGACTGGTCTTGTGACCCCTTGTTCTCCCCCACTTTGCCTATGGGGGTGTGTCAGGCTTATATGCTATAGTCTGTGTAGGCTGTAGTGGGGTAGTTCATATGGGGTACAACACTTTAGGGTTTTCTACTTGTACTCCTCATCTTGCTCAATGCAATCATTCCTCGTTTTTCATCACCCTGTGCCAGTGCCCTGCCCTGTGCCTGCGCCCTGCCCTACGCCCGCGCTGCAGCCCTACGCGTCGCGCCCTACGGCAGCCCGCGCGTCGTGCGCTGCTGCCCCGCGCGTCGCGCCCTACGGCAGCGCACGAGTCGCACGCTGCTGCCTCGCGCGTCGCGCTCTGATGCAGCCCGCGCGTCGCGCCCTAAGGCAGCTCGTCGCGTCGCGCTCTGCTGCCCCTCGTGTCACGCACTGCTGCAGCCTGCGCTACCGCCCTGCCCTGCGCCAACACCCTGCCCTGCGCACGCTGGCGCCCTGCCTTGCGCCAGCGCCCTACCGTGCGCCGGCGCCCTGCCTTGCGCCAGCGCCCTGCCGTGCGCGGGCTTGCACCCTGCCCTGCGCCAGCGCCCTGCACTGCGCCAGCGCTCCGCTAAACCCTAAATAAAATTATATATATATATATATATCCATATATATACCCTAGGTGCTTCTGCCCTATGAGCTACTGCCTGCTACTGCCCTGCTCTGGCCGCGCGCCGCCCTGCTTTGGCTGCGCGCCGCCCTGCCCTACCCTAGTGCCTCCTCGCCGCCCTTGTTGCCCTGCGTGCTGCCCTGCTACTCGCATGACTTCCCTTCACGGTAGCGGTGGGAGTGGTGGTGGCGGTGGCGGCAGCAGTGGGAGTGGTGGCGGCCTCAGTACCAGTCGCTTTGGAGCTGTTCGGTGGGGAGTTTCTGGCGGTGGCCAGATGCAGTTGCAGCGACGTTCGAGCGAGACCCTTTTGCCCCAGCAGCTTCGTGAGTGATATGCCCTTAGGTGTCGTGGCGGTGGCCGTAGTGGCAGTCGCGGTGCAGCTAGTCGGTTGGGAGTTTCTGGCGGTGGCCTGGTGCAGCTGCAGCCGCGTCCCCGTGAGACCCTTACGCCCCAGCAGTTTCGTGAGTGGTACGCTCAGTGTGGGGGGTCTTTGAGTAGTGCTCGCTGCCAGTACGTCATTCGCACAGGTGATCGAGCTGGTCAGACATGCGGGACACCTGGCCACACATAGTCGCGCTGCTTTTCCTGTCTGAGCGACACCTGGCGTGCACAGTTTGGCGACGCGGCTGAGCTCCCCCGCTGGCTAGAGCTACTTAGGCAGGGCGTCGATGTCTTTGCGCTAGACTATGACGCCATCCTTACTGCCATGTATGCATTGACTAGTAGTACTGAGGGTGATTGCTACTTGTGTATGCCGCCTGACCCAGGTATTGAGTCTGCAGCCCTAGGTGCTAGTGAGTCTATTCTCCCTGGTACTGCGTCCGCTCAGGCCTTGCACACCTTTACACTTGACTCTGGTGCTTCCCGCTGTTTCTTTCGCGACAGTACCACAGTCACTCCCCTTCCTGCACCTGTCCCTGTCTCACTGGCTGACCCCTCTAGGGGCCCAATGCTAGCACGGTCCACTAGTGTGCTTCCGTTTCCGGCGGTCTCGTCTGGTGAGCTGTCTGGTCTCCACCTCCCCTCGTTCTCTACGAACCTTCAGAGCAACGCCGTTCTTGAGGATCATTGGATTGACACCTTTACTCCTGGAGGACAGCGTGTGGCTTCTGCACGTGCTCTCGGACTAGCAGCCACCTGGCCACGTTCACACGTGCGCCTGGGTCCAGTCTGTACACCCTCACCACTGCGTCGCGCTACACCCCTTTGTCTCCTCAGTTGTACTTGTCCACTCAGGTGGCTACCCAGTGTGAGTGTTGCCGCCTGACGCGCCAGACTCTCCTTTGGCATCACCGCCTTGGTCATCCCTCCTTGCCTCACCTTCGTAGCATGCACTCTCGCTACCTGGTCTCTGGTCTTCCCCGGTCTCTGCCCTCCCTCCCTCCCTCGCCTGCGCCGCCCTGCATTCCTTGCGTCGAGGGGCGGCAGTGCACCGCTCCTCACTCCTCCTCGTTCCCTCCCATAGAGGCTCCGCTGCAGACTCTCCACATGGACGTGTGGGGCCCAGCCCGCGTCCGTGGACAGGGCCATGAGCAGTATTTCCTGCTGGTAGTCAACAACTACACGCGTTACACCACGGTCTTCCCCTTGCAGCGCAAGGGGGATGTCTATGCTGTTTTGATCCCTTGGATCCGCGTTGTTCGTCTCCAGCTCCGCGAGCGGTTCGAGTCGGACATTCCTGTCCTGCCTTTGCACTCTGACAGAGGTAGTGAGTTCACCTCTGACCTCTTGCGAGCCTACTGTGAGAAGCACGGCATCCGCCAGACGTTCACGCTTCTGGCCTCTCCGCAGCAGAATGGGATTGCTGAGCGCCGCATTGGCTTAGTCATGGAGGTCGCTCGTACCTCCATGATCCATGCGGCTGCCCCCCATTTTGTGTGGCCGTTTGCAGTCTGGTACGTCGCGCATCAGCTCAACCTCTGGCCCCGTCTCTCCATTCCGGAGACTTCGTCCACACTACGTTGGACGGGGGAGGTTGGCGATGCATCGCGGTTCCGAGTCAGGGGTGCTCGTGCCTTTGTCCGCGATACGACTGCGGACAAGCTCTCCCCTCGCGCCATTCCCTACGTTTTCCTTGGCTTTGTCCCTGACGCGCCTGGCTGGCAGTTTAATGACCCCGCCTCGCGCCGTGTCTTTGCGTCTCAGGATGTCACCTTTGATGAGTCGGTCCCCTTTTACCGTCTGTTTCCCTACCGCACAGCCCCTCTCCCCCCCCCCGCTGCTCTTTCTCACTCCAGGTCCTCCCCAGGTACACCCCCTCCCCCCTCCAAGTCCTGCTTCTTCAGGTGTGTCTCAGGTAGACCCTCCTCCCTTGACTGAGTTGGTTGAGGTCACTGGTGACTCAGGTCCTACTGGGGGTGGTCCTGCTTGGAGTGCTGCTTCTAGGGGTGCTGAGCCTTGGGGTGCGGAGCCTGGGGGTGCTGAGCCTAAGGGTGCGGAGCCTGGAGGGGCTGAGCGTGGGCGTGAGGGGTCCGGGGGTGCTGAGCCTGGGGGTTCTGCGTCTGGGGGTGCTGCGCCGGGGGGCACAGAGGCGTCTAGTGAGCAGTCTCCTTGGAGTGGCCGTCTCCGTAGTCGCTCCGCTGGTGCCTCGCCGCAGCACTCTCGTCGGCGTCTCCCTCTCTCCCCACAGCAGCTGCGTGAGTGGTACGTTAGTCGTCAGGGTCGCGCTGGTGGAGCTGGACGCCATGCTGCGGGAGGCACTGGCGTTTGGAGCACTGGTGACTCTGCTACTGGAGGTGTTTCTACTGGAGTTCCTGGACCCGCTGGTCCCGGAGGTGCTCGTACTGGAGGTACTGGAGCTACTGGGGCTGGAGCTACTGCTGGACCTGGACGTGGTGCTGTCGACCCTCAGGTTGGAGACCCTGGAGCTGGAGGTGCCGATTTTGGGGGTGCTGCTGTTGGAGACACTGAGGCTGGAGACCCTGGGGCTGGAGGTGCCGGTTCTTGGGGTGCTGCTACTAGTGGTGCTGGTACTGGAGGTGCTGGCGCTGGAGGTTCTAGCACTGTTGGAGGTGCTGGCGCTGGTGGCGCTGGAGCTGGAGGTTCTGGAGCTGCTGGAGGTGCTAGTACTGGAGGTGCTGGAGCTGGAGGTTCTGGAGCTGCTGGGGGTGCTGGCGCTGGAGGTTCTGGAGCTGTTGGGGGTGCTGGCGCTGGAGGTTCTGGAGCTGCAGGAGGTGCTAGAGCTACTGGTGCTGGTGGCACTGCTCAGCCGCGACTGTTCTTCGCTCCGCTGTCACCTTTGTCTCTGCCGCCGCCTGACTCCGTGCTTTGCTAGGTTCTTAGCCTCCCGTCTTCTTGGGGTGTTCCGTTACAACCTGGCTCTCCACTGCCTGCTCCTTCTCCTTACACTAAGCAGATAGGGGGTGTTGCTGAGCGTCGTGAGCCTACGTCTGGTCCTGTCTCTCCTGTTCGCACTATATGCACTGGTTGTACTGATCGTCCTAAGCGTCCGCCGGCTATCCCCGGCACGCTCCTCATGGCTCTGCGTCCTTCCTCTGCTCCGCAGCGTGTTCCCCTGCCGTCCCCTCTTGCGTCTTCTCTACCTGACGTTTCAGACCCTGAGTCTGACCGCGCTCATGCTGCTCACCCTACTGTCACGCGTCTACTTGCCACTGTTGTTACTGACCCTTCGCTTGAGTCCACTGTGTCAGAATCCCAACCACTAGACCATTGGGATAAAAGGGCTTGTTTCAGTAGCGGGTCAGTGCGCCCATAACCCCCCAGGCAAACGCGCCTGTAACCCTCTCCAGGATCGATCGGGCATCCACAGTGCAGATCTACTGACACCCCCCCACTGTGGGAGGCCCAGGACTAAGCACAGCGGCACCGGCCTACATGTGCATACACCGAGAATCGAACCCGAGACCGCTCTGATACCATGTCAGAATCCCAACCACTAGACCATTGGGATAAAAGGGCTTGTTTCAGTAGCGGGTCAGTGCGCCCATAACCCCCCAGGCAAACGCGCCTGTAACCCTCTCCAGGATCGATCGGGCATCCACAGTGCAGATCTACTGACACAGTGCTGCGTCTGCTTTAGTCGCTGAGCTTGTTGACTTCGCTGCTAGTCTTGTTGCTGGGTCTAAGTCTGTCTGTCTGTTCACACACATTAAGCCTATGATCCAGGATTTTGCCGACCTTCTATTTCTCGGCTATGATGATGATACGTAATCTTGGAGCTCAGGGAGTGGGTGTTGGCTGCCTATGGGGTCTTGCACGAGCGATTAGGCGGTCTTGGGTCTGGAGGTCTAGCCGCACAAGTGCAAACCATGGGAGGGTGGTGGGGACCTGGAGGGAGGGGAGAGGGATAAGGCACTTACGACAGGCATGCAACAAGCTTGGACTTGGCTCACTGTAGTCCGTGTCCCCATTGGTGAGGACGACTAGGAGGTGGCTCGCTTACAGGACCGCCTGATGCAACTGCGCGCATATGTTCCAATTTATCCGACTCGCTTTCAGGATCACGTAAATTTATCCAATTTACTCGACCAGGGGTGGTGGAGGCTTTTCAAGGCTGAGATCATGATTCGAGAAAGTCTCAGATAGCCCGCCTGCAGCTGAACCTTCCTGTCAGACTGGGAAGCTTTGGGATTCGATCTGCAGCTGACCTCGGCCCTTTGTCGTACGCTTATGGTTGGCGCCAGGCAGTGAACGATGTTGCTCGGATGGGGGTTTCAGGAGAGGAGCGGATGTTTGAGGAGCATTTTGCATCCTCGAAGCTACGACCTTGTTGGATCTCTGGTTTGCAAGAGTAGTGAAGCTACTCCTACAGCCGGTGTGGTAGGAGGTGTCGCCCCTGTTGAAACAGCAGACTGAAACGATAGAACAGAAAAGAGAGGTTTGAACTAGCAGCAGCAGGATACATATATGAAACCCAAAATTGGGATGTACTCGCTATAGAGTACCCCACTGCAGGTTAGATACATATAACACTCTGACACACCCCCATAGTCAAAGTGGGGTATAATCAGCACAACGAGCAGGCAGAGCAATAGTACACAATGATAAGCAAAGCTAGAGGCTATCACAGAGGGCAAATGAGGAGGAGAAACTGTAGGGGGCGAGAAGATGGGAGGCGACGGCTGAAGCTGCAGACACACGGGCAACAGGAGCGCGCAACACTGTGGATACCAGGCGCAGAGCCTCGGACTACACGGCGACAGGCGCAGCTAGCTCTCTGTGCTACCATGAGCGCGCAACACTGTGGCTACCAGGTGCAGAGCCTCGGATTACACGGCGACAGGCGCAGCTAGCTCTCTGTGCTACCAGGAGCGCGCACATTGTGGCTACCAGGCGCAGAGCCCCGGACTACACGGCGACAGGCGCAGCTGGCTCTCTGGGCTACCAGGCTAAACCTCGGACTACAGGCGCTGCGGACGACAAGACGGCTGCCTCCACTTAACTTCCCCCAGCTGTCTCACACCCCATTTACACACACCCTACTGTACCCCTAGCACTGCTCACACGCCACCCCTGTAGTATCACTCTGACGGCTCCCACACATCCACCCCCCTCAGCGGCAGCTGCAGTAGCGGGAGACAGAGGAGGAGGAGGAGGAGGAGGAGGAGGAGGAGGAGGAGGAGGAGGAGGAGGAGGAGGAGGAGGATGAGGAGGAGGAGGAGGAGGAGGAGGAGGAGGAGGAGGAGGAGGAGGAGGAGGAGGAGGAGGAGGAGGAGGAGGAGGAGGAGGAGGATCACGGGAGGCCTCAGACACCCGTCACCCCATACTTGCCACCCCCAAACCCTAACACAGGCAGCACGGGGCAGGAGCGGGTGCGCGCACGGCAGGGCAGGTGCGCGCGGGCCTGGCGCAGGCCGTACGGGCCACGCATGGGCCTGGGGCAGGCCGTACGGGCCGCGCGCAGGCTGTACGGGTTGCGCGCGGCCCTGGCGCAGGTCGTACGGGCCGCGCGCGGGCTATACGGGCCGCGCGCGGGCCTGGCGCAGGCCGTACGGGCCGCGCGCGAGCTGTACGGGCCGCGCGCGGGCTTGGCGCAGGCTGTACAGGCCGCGCGCGGGTCTCAGGGGCGCTTCGACGGGCGACGGGGGCCGACGCACAGATCCCCGGGGGCGCTTCAACGGAGCAGCAAACCGCCGCGCACTCCCGGGGCGCGCGGCGTGTAAACCACCACGCGCCCCGAGCGCATGGCGGGCGGCGTGTGGACGGGCCGCGCATGGGCCTGGCGCAGGCCATACGGGCCGCGCGCGGGCTATACGGGTCACGCGCGGGCCTGGCGCAGGTCGTACGAGCCGCGCGCGGGCTGTACGGGCCGCACACGGGCCTGGCGCAGGCCGTACGGGCCGCGCGTGGGCTGTACGGGCCGCGCGTAGGCTGTAAGGGCCGCGCGCGGGTCCCAGGGGCGCTTCGACGGGTGACGGGGGGTGACGCGCAGGTCCCCGGGGGGCGACGCGCTGGTCGACGGGGCAGGAAACCGCCGCGCGCCTCGGGGTGCACGGCGGGCAGAAAACCGTCGCGTGCAACCGACATGCGCCCCGACCGCGTGGCGGGAAGAAAAAACGTCGCGCGCCACGGGGCACGCAACAAACAGGACAGCAGCGGAAGCTAACGGTGGGCCCACAGGCCAGGAGCGTAACCGCTCTGATAGCATGTCAAAACAGTAGGCAGGAATGTAGAAACATGAAAGAGGTTTTGGACTAGCAGCAGCATGATACATATACGAAACTCTAAATTGGGTTGTACTCGCTATAGAGTACCCCACTGCAGGCTAGACACATATAACATTCTGACAGACACATATAACATTCTGACAGCCCCTTGCATTGTGCACCGTTGACCCCCCACTAATGCTTTTGTATACGCAGCAGCATGGATTGGTGGTAGAGGGTCCGCAATCGCTTCGAGGCATGGCCCATGATGATGCCACCTTGGCCCGTTTGACATCCCTTCAAGGCTCGGGTGTGGGAGTGTTGGTCTCTGTCGTTCGTTCTCGTGATGAGGCTAACTTACCGTGACTGAGTGGAGCATCTGTGCCGCCATGAGCATGGGCCTTCCGAACGAGCAGCTGATGGTTGCTGGCAAGTGTGTTTGTGGGGTTTAGTTTGTTGATCTTTCGCTGCAAGCATCAGTAATACCTTCACGAGTCTATGACGTGGTTAAAATTCGTGGTGGCCAGGATATCTAAAATGTTGTGACTATAGAGGACGATACGTTGCTTTTGAAGAGAAGGTGGATGTGATGTTCGAAGACCAAGGGCCCTGCGCATGCGCTTGAGTTCAGCTTTGTTGACCCCATCTCCCTGTCTGCGCAGCAGCACGTGCAAATTGGCTGCAAGGTGGTTTTTGCCGCTACGAAGAGAGAAAGGCGGAAGGCGACGGATCACCAATATCTTTTCCAGCAGCATAGGGGAGCGTAGTTGACTCCCTACATCGGAGAAACCTGGGGTTGCCTAGGGCGACTTGAGAAACAGGACGACGTACAGCTGCAGGTGGCGATGTCAAAAGGGGCGGTTGGGGGGTACAGGAAAGAGATTCTTAGCGTATTTGCTCGGATTACGTAAGGTTGCCATTGGGGTGGCATTGTAGCGAATCCAGATGCGTGTAATCCACATGCGTCGTCAATGATGAGGGGCTCGGAGGCTGTTTGGATGGAGCGGGAGGATATCGAACAGCATTTTGGATGGGACGCTCCATGGGTAGATCTGCCCTACCTGGTGGATATGCGTGTCAGAATCCCAACCACTAGACCATTGGGATAAAAGGGCTTGTTTCAGTAGCGGGTCAGTGCGCCCATAACCCCCCAGGCAAACGCGCATGTAACCCTCTCCAGGATCAATCGGGCATCCACAGTGCAGATCTACTGATACCCCCCCACACTGGAAGGCCCAGAACTAAGCACAGCGACACCGGCCTACATGTGCATACACCGGGAATCGAACCCGAGACCGCTCTGATACCATGTCAGAATCCCAACCACTAGACCATTGGGATAAAAGGGCTTGTTTC